TTACAGTTTTTATGCCAAAAAGTATTTTCATGTTCAATAACACTATTAGAACACAGTTTTTTGATATAAAAGCAACACACCAGAAGCACTATAAATGCGACACACCAGAAACAATGTAAAAGCAACACCAAATGCACATGGAGTTATTTGCATTTATAAAATGCCTATTTCAACCTAATACAATTCAGAAAACAAACCAAAATTAGATAAAAAATAATATAAAAATAGATAAAAGATAATATTAAAAATGGGAATAGAGAATAATAAAACCCTTCTTTGATTGCTCTGTTAATTGATGAATATTCAAACCTTATAATTGATAGAATTGGATTGGAGGAACAAAAGATAAAAAATTGGCTTTTCTTTCCCATAAGTATTGGTTTACTTAATTTGTTTTTAAAAGCTTTTAGAAGTATAACAAGTCTTTAGTCATAGTAAATGATCATTCAGAAAAGACCTGTTAGAATGATGCAGCAATTTGTTCACCAATAATTGAGGAAGATAAACAGAGCGCACATAGCTGAATCCTGGAAACAAGGCAGAATTTGTTACCCGTGCTGGTGAACTGAAAATGAGATTTTTAAAAAGATTTGCAGATATTAGGAAACATGTTGACAAAATCAAATTATTCACAGTAAAATTCTCTGTTGAAATTGAAATGGTACCAGAAAAACTCTAAATGGAATTAATTTATGTTCATGCAATAATGCTTTGAGAGACGTATATAATCAACAAAATTTGATGGTATTTTACACAAATCTTGAATAAAAGAAGCAACTTAGTTGACAATGGAAATATAATAGGTGTCTTTTAATGTAGCACATACTTGTGTGAAAGTGTTTTCTCTGATGAAATTTGCAAAATCTATAACAAGATCTGTACTGACAGATAATAACTTGCACTTACAAAAATTGCAATCTTGATAAGAATTACTGAAGAAAAATTAGTAGAACTAATAAAGAAAAAGTAGTAGAAGCTTTGCCGTCAGTTACAGTTCATTCAAACTTATGCTTGACTTAAAATGAGTCTAATGTAGTTGAGTATCGCAACCAGGCAGTTGCTGTTTGATATTAAAATTATAGTGAAAAAAAGGGCAGGTTTGCAATTACCAATAAACTATATTTTGTACGTAACATATGTATAGTATGTACTTGCATGATATTCCTTTCAAGAATACATTTAATAAATTAAAAAAATATATATTTCTAAATAAAGTATTTTAAAAAACCTTCAGCCTCCAGTAAACAGTTAAAAAGCTTTTTTAGCCATCATCAAAAAAGTTGCGGCCACCCCTTAAATTTTTTTACTTAAACACAGTGAACTTAACTTATCTGTTTTTCAAATATAACCTGTCAACATGAATGTATTATCAAACATTGTAATTTTTCAATTTAAAATACTAAAAAAAAGAGAAGATTTAAGAAAAAAGCAATGATATCATGTTTTTACTCAAATATATAAATTCCAATTCTTTTTTTAATTTAACTTACCTCCTGAATCGGTGAAGCTGACTACTTTTGAAAATTTAATGCCTAGGGCAGGGGAAGAGCAAAGAGAAAGCAAAGGAATAAGAATTGTGTGGTCTTATTAAACTTAAACTTTATGAGATGTTTTTTTTTAATATTTTTATATTTATCTAAAGGGTATATTACAAATTTAAAAAAAATCCTCCAAATGACTACCAAGACAGAGCAACATAAAAAACCAGAAGTAAAAATATCTTCAAATAGAAAATTTTCAAAAAAAGCAGTGTTTATATTTTCTGATTATTAATTTTACATAGTTCGTTAGAAAATTTTTTCAATCTATATGAATTGTCTTAATTTTCTTTGAGTGTGGTTTTGTTTCTAAATTTTCAGCATATTTCATGTGTTAATAATAAAAAAAATTTCTTATCAAAAAATATGAATAACTGAAAAATTTACCCTTTTGATTTGAAGAACTCTTGATGCAGGTGAGCCAATAGTAACCTTCAAACAAAAAGTATTTAAGATTAAAAATAACTTTAAAACCAGAAAACACAATAAAATTAAGTTGGCTAAAAAGAAATAAATAACTTTTTTAAAATTCTTAGAAGTTTATAGAAGATATAAGAAATTTCCATGATTTGACTACATTTATGAAACAAATAAAATTTTTGCATTTTAACTTGTTTATATCGCAAAAATCATTAAAAACCTGATAAGCACTGCCTGTTTTATGATTTTCAGCCAGGGCGCTTAACAGACAAGGCCACACAGAATATATCCTATCGATGTCTGTGATAACATAATGGCAACTTAATGTTGCAAGATCAATCTAGATCTGGAAGACCAGTGATCTAAAGATTTACGCACTGCTTAGCACTGTAACTCGGGTGCATTCATTGTAAAATCATACCATGAATGCATCCATATTTACAAAATTAAAAAAACCTTCAAGCTTAGAGTATGGATAACACACACAAAAATGCAAGTCAGCAAGGTCAACAAGCATACATCTGCATGAACTACATGTTTTTGCACTACATGTTTAACTATACAGCTAGCAACTTAAAAAAATTCTTAAAAAAAGACTCACCACACAATAAAGTTGACTTTCCTTTTGATAATGTACTCACAATGCCAAATTGATGGTGCAAAACTATTGGAGCTTGCCTTAAGAAATGTTGCCTCATTTTTTTAAATAAATTTAGAATTGAAACTTATGAGTTCAAAATGAATTTTGAATTTAAAAATTTGAAATTGAAATCATTGCTATCATCAACAGCAAAAACAGTTCTTCAAAAACTAGGCTGCTCGCCAATGCTTCTTTATGGAGATTTCAACTATAAAGAAACATCTTACAAACCAACTGAAATGCATTAAAAGTGCTGTAGTAACCATTGCCTATGTAGCCTACAGGCACCCAACCGATCTAAAATTCCAAGAATGTCTTAATAAGTGTCATTTCACCTAGCTGGTTACATTTCCAACATTTCACCCATATAGGGAAATTCCTTTTAGTAGCACGCTTGCATTAATAATCTCAGACAAACCAGACGGCTCTAATGAAATCACTAAAGCAGATCATCTAGGCAATATACCTGTAGGTCAAGCACATTGCATGATACACAGACTTTTTGCTCTTAACGGGCACTACACAATAACTAACCCGATGAAAAAACGATTTATCTGGAGCAAAGCAGATTACAACTCCTTATCAACCTGCATATCATCAACAGATTGGATAACAACTTTCAATGAAGGCCCTGTGTATGAAAATTACCAGATTCTAGTTAAAAGCTACAATGAGGCAGTAAATTAATTAATTCAAACAAAACTTGCTTGCAAAGCAGTAAAGAAGACCATACATAAGGCGTTAACTGACCACAAGGAGAATAGTTGATGCTATGGGTTTGAAGGTGGGAAATGTTTATCTATTAATTGCAAAAAGATTTGGCCACTATTGGTAGAGACACTTTTATTGTAGGGTGGGTTAAACTAAATTATATTCCTTTTTCTTTTCGGAGGTGTCTTATTTTTTAGGTTGTACTCTAAGCTAAAGTTTTTAAAACCGTTTTGTTTAAGTGCCCCAAGTCCTTAAGCAAGTCCCTTTCTCTATTAATGGTCGACTATTGCAAAATATTTAACACATCAAAAACAGAATATGAAGAAGCACTTGAACAAAACGGTTTTAAAAACTTTAACTTAAAGTACAACCTAAAAAATAAGACACCTCCCAAAAGAAAAAGGAACATAATTTGGTTTAACCCACCCTACAATAAAAGCGTCTCTACCAATGTTGGCCAAATCTTTTTGCAATTAATAGATAAACGTTTCCCACCTTCAAACCCATAGCATAAACCTTAAATAAAAATTAGTTACAGCTGCTCAAACAACATTTCAAAAATCATAAAAAATCACAACAAAAAAATTAATTTAATTAACACAACTGAAAATCTCCCTAAAGAAAAGCGGCAAACATCATTTACAAATGTAAAACATCTTCCCCAAACACGCCCAGAAAAGCAAAAAACATTATTTACAAATGTAAAATATCTTCCCCAAACATGCCCAGCAAAGCATACATTGGTTTATCAGAAGGAAAAAAGAGGTATGCAAACAACGAGCAATCACTTAAAAATAAACTTTCAAATGAAACTCTCTCAAAACTCTCTCAAAACATATATGGAAAACTAAGGAAAAACTGAAAGAAATATCTGAATCAACTTGGTCTATTCTAAAAAATACCCCCAACTATAACAATACAACAAAAAAATGTTTACTTTGTTTATATGAAAAACTAATCATTTTACTTTATAAAAATGCTGAAGAGCTACTTAATAAAAAAACAGAGTTAATTTCCAAGTGTCATCATAAAAATAAATTTCTATTCAACAACGACAAACCTGAAGATTAGATACAGGTGATCGTAACAATAAAAAAAGTTTTTTCTATATAGATTTTTTCTGTATGGTTTCAATTGTATATAATTTTTAAACGAACAAACTATATTTGCATTTGACCTGATGATTGTAACAGCATGAAACTTTGTGAAAATCACATAGTTGGCAGGAATAAATGAGTACAAGAGCGGAAAAAAGCTCTCCTAAAACGAACTTGGGGAGCTGTGCGAGCTGCTCCTCATTTAAATCAGCGCTCTTTTTTAATTATAATTTTTTGTTGTTGCAACAACCGTGTCTTTTAAAAAGCATTTCAGTATATTATGCAATTAATTTTTTCTAATTGACATTGTGTCTTTTATTTTATTTATAAAAATAATTATACTTTTATGAGAAAAATTTAACTTTTGCGAGAGCTGTAAATAGCTCTCTTAAACCGTTTCAGGGGAGTGAGGGCGAGAGCAAGAGCTAATGCTCTCGCTTCCCGCCAAGGCCTGTATATATATATATACATACACACACACACACATATATATATATATATATATATATATATATATATATATACATATATATATATATATATACACATACATACATATATATATATATACATACATACATATATATATATATATATATATATATATATATATATATATATATATATATATGTATATATATATATATATATATATATATATATATATATATATATATATATATATATATATATATATATATATATATATATATATATATATATATATATAAACAATTTAAAATGTATTCTACAAAAAGAGTGCTCAATGTTCTTAAAAGAACAGAGCAATTACAAATTAGTAGAAAATCACTTAGCAAAATTTTTTCTCATTTAACACTGTGTTTGATCAATAAAGCATTTCTGATGAGTCTTTATTGATGAAACACAGTGTTAAATGAGAAAAAATTTTGCTAAGTGATTTTCTACTAATTTATATATATATATATATATATATATATATATATATATATATATATATATATATATATATATATATATATATACATATATATATATATATATATATATATATATATATATATATATATATATATATATATATATATATATATATATATATATATATATATATATATATATATATATATATATATATATATATATATAGTATTGTATTTATTAGAGTGCCAATAAAAAAAATTTTAACAAAAAAAAAGAAAAAAGAATTAAAATTATATAAATATTTCAAAAGTCATTATTTTACAAAAAATTATTCAGACACTTAATGACGCTTTTTAACTAATAATGAAAATAGTGCATTTATTCAAGATTTTTTGATTATTATTTTTTTTTTTAAATGTTTTTTATAAAATTATTATTATTTTGAAATTTTGATATTATCTTCTTCTTCTTTTAAGACCCAGGTTTACATCTTCTTTTACGACTCTAATCAACTAAGTTGATTTTTAAAGAACTTTTTTTTTAATTATATTAGGAACCCACTCAATGCTTTAAGGCATACAGCAATCCCTAAATGTAATTTTTATAAACCAAATGTGTGTAAATGTCCATAAAGATAAATTCATATCATAAACAGAACTACGTGAACCTTTTGTACAAAAATCTGGTAAAAAAGGAAACCATATGTTTAAAACTTCAAGTCTTTCAAAAATATGAGATGTGAATGTGAAGCGAAAGAATATAATTTAATAAAGTATATCATCAAAAAAAAAAAAAAAATTTAATTTTATAAAAAGTTCTGAAACTGTTTTTCTTTACTAAGAGGTCTCTTTAAAAGAGAAATCTTTCATATTTAAATTTAGATCATTTATCAAATTGTAACTTTTCACAAGCTACAATTTTTGTTGTTGTTAATTTTTTAAGTATTTTATGCTTCATTTAAGTTTCTTTAAAGGGATGGTAGCTGTGATACATACTGTGCATTACCAAAACAAAAAATTACCTCTGAACACTAAACTGAAAGTAAACTTTAATGCTTTAATGCAGTAGTAAACGCATTGTCAAGACTAAAAAAAAATCTCAAGAAGTTTCAAACACCAAAGATATAGCAAAAAAGGAAAGTTCAGGTCTTAAGGCACAGTTTTGGGAGTTACTGAAATTATTTTGCTTGTTTATATTTATTAATCTGCATACTATGTATGATAGAATTGAGAAAGTAGATAAGAAACACTAAAATTTAAATTAAACTGAGAAATATGTTAGTTGTTTCACTTCCTGATAGAGATTTCCTGGGCCATGCATTAACTATGATATAGAAATGACTGCTGTCAAACATTTTAAACAACTTTTTTAAAAAAGAACTACTGGCTTAATTCAAGCCTTGCCACAAATACAAATATTGGACTAGAAATTTGAAAAAACCATTTTATAGAACTTAAGCATTCAATTCACTTTACAGTAGAATTGATTATATTTAGTTTGAATTGCAACCCATGAATTACAGAACATCATCATTTAATTAGGCGTCAGTCAGAGTGAAGATATTGTAAAGAGTCAGTCTTTATCTTCTTTGTATATAGGATTTTTCAAAACTTTTAGGCAGTAACAGTAAAACATTTTTTTTGTCTAAGTCAAAAAACAAAAAACAACTAATTTTTAACACTCGCTTTTTTACTGTTTTTTAACACTTTTCTCTAAGGAAGTTTCCAGAATTAAATTATAAAAATGTCTCACTTTTAGTGCTTTTACTTAGCATATACTAATTTAGTGACAAACTGTTTTTACTGTGTAGTGAGTAATTTTGAAAATTCATTTGCACACAAATTTAAGTGAAGTTATTAATTGTAAAAGCAACTAAAACAGTAGATATAATCTTTTGACCAAATAGTTGATGTTTTCAGTCATGTCAACAACATATAATTATGCTACACAGACAACCAAACTTTATATTGCAAATATTTTTACGTTTTCACTGTTAGAATACTTTATACAGTTTATTTTTACTGTGTACCAGTAGATTACCTTTAAAAACACATATCCACTTAAATACTGCACGTATAAACTTGGGTTCAGCTATGGGTTTCACTAATGTCATTGAAATACAAACTTTTGATAGAATAACAATATATATTTTAAGTAACATTAAACACAAGTTCTAAAAAGGGACATAGCAATAAACAAACATTTTATCTGAATACATCCAAGAGTTATTAAGACTTTTTTGGTAAACTTTTGGTAAATTTCATTGGGAAATTTTATTTTCATTTCAATTTGGAAATAAAATTTCATATCAATTTCAAAAATATTGGGAAATTTCATACATTGATTTCCAATACTTTGCTGAACCATACCGTCCTTTTATTTGTGCCACTTTAAATTGCAATCCTGAAGTTGTTGCTAGGGCTCTTTTGTTTGAGGTCACATTTCTTGTTTTCTTAGTAGTAGCAGATAATAGAAAACATTAGTAGGTTCGACATCATCATAAAGTAAGCTGCTTGTTGAAACTTATCCTGTTGCATATCATCAATAATTTATTTCTACCAAATCTATTAGCAGCTGCTGATATTTTTAGCTGATGAGCAATTATTCTACATTGTTCCTAAGATATTTATAAATCTTTCTTGATTAATTGTCTGGAAAGAGAAAAAAGTATTGTGTGTTATTGTTGTATTGATGGAGCTGTTGATTTGGTATTGGTCATGTAGCTGTGTAACTCTAATAGTATCAGGTGAAGACTCAAATAAATTAATTTACTTTTACAAAAAAAAATTAAAGACTGTTTTTTTATGTCTCTGCTTTGCCAGCATAAACTAACTCAGTAGTAGTAGCCTGTAAACCATAGTTGACAAATTGTGGTGTTTCATTGTAATTGAAAACTCTTTCTGTTACAAAATTACCAAACCATATGCAAAATTCTTATTTTTTCATAGTTCTACGTTACAACCAATCAACTCATTAACTAAGGCATCTGAGATAAAAAAAAATTCAAAATTAAGAATAGATTCATGTTACATAAACTAAATATGTGTACAAAGCATAAAAACTTATTCAAGAATAAAAACAAATTTGTAGAATAGTTAAAAATGAAATTGGCAATATCTTTTTATAGTGAGGCTGAGCTAAAAAAACCAATATGTAACAAAAAAAAGTGTACCTAGATGACTTGCAGCCATCTCCCTAGTACAATTTAGTCTTTTCAAATGATTTTGAAAGTCTAAATAATTTTAATAATAATGTACAGCATTTATGATATATTTAACGCTGTCGTAATTTTTTGGAAAAGAAATAAGTGCAAAGAATAAAATTACTTACCTCTCATTTTTAATGTCAGTTTTTGCACTTTTGCTAATAATTTTGAAAACTTTCTTCCACCTTTTTTTAAAATGCACTTTACAAGTTTACAAGTCACCCAACGTAATTTGGAAACTTCTTTTTTAGAAAGTCCCTGGTGCGCTATATTTCTATTCTTAATAAAACAAACTATTTCCATTTCATAGTTCATTTTTTACATTTTTAACTTTGTTATCTAACCTTCTGCCTATTGTTTCACTAACTTTATTCGAACGAAACCTTCCTTTTTTTAATACTGTCCTCATTTATTATTTCTTGTAATAATAAACCAATCTGCTGCTATGATACACCTATGCCTCTGATATATGATTCTCTTTAACTCTTATGATTTTTCTGCATGGTGTTATTTGAGCTTTGTCTTTAATCCATTATTTTTCTACTAGCAACAATCATAAATAATGTTGCAATTTTTTCATACTTTCTAATTTATACACTAAAAACAAAGAATAAACATAGTAGGTTAAAGATTACAAGCACAAAATGAACAGAGAGATACCAGGTGAAACAATTTTACAATATAATGGTTATAACAGATCAGTATAAACATTTTTTATATTCCTGTCCATTCTAGGAGGAATATTTTAATTAATGCAATGTAGTATTTAGAGGGGGGAAAAATATAGTTTTTATAGACCTTTAAAAACATTTAAAATAACATTTTCTGTTGGACTAAGTTAGCAAGCCTCCTTATATGTCAAACTACACTGATTTCTGATATTATAATAAAAAAAATAATAATTTGAATTTGCAGAAATTTTCACTCAAATAAATCCATCATGTTCCTTGAAATTTTTAGCAGGAATAATAAAAAAATCAGAAAATTCAATAATATCCTCAATAAATATGGCAAAACAAAGTGATGTCCAGGGAAGAAATGCCAATATCAGGCTTTTTTTTTAATAACAAAAAAATTTCAAAAACTTGCCCTACAACTGATATACTCTGTTTTGAAATTATGCATAGCTTTAAGTAGTAAACTATTATAAATATTTATTTAAGATCGGAAGTAAGAGTTAATCCTAGAAGATGAAGGGTAGATGACTCATCGAGTACATTATCCTTCATAAATATACAAAGATCTGGATTATTGCAATAACGATTAGCTGAAAAAATTGAGTTTTATCTGAGTTAAAGTTCACCAGCCACTGAGAGCCCCATGCTGTAGCAGAAGTGAGATAATTTGAAGCTCAAATGCCCCCTCTAAGCATCAGAAAGTGTTGGCTTCCTATCAAGATAAATGGTAATATCATCAGCAAACAATGCCACCTTAGATGTGAGAATTTCTGGAAGATCATTAATGTAAATTTAAAAGAGTATAGGGCCAAGAATAAAACCTGAAGTTACAGGATATAAAGAAGAATGCTGTCCAGGACAACTTTTATACTACAATTATTAAGGAAGGATTCAATAATCCTAAAGATGTTACTTGATATACTGTAAGAAAAAAGCTTATGGAGAAGACCAACATGCTAAAGCACTTACTAAAGAATAAGAGACACAATATAAACATTAGACAATTTAATAAAATTATTAAGTGTTCAGGCAACTCTACAACAACATAGAAGAATCATTTCAAAATGCAGTTAAAAACAGCAAATGAAGTTAAAAACAACATGAGTGTTGATCAATATACCACTGTAAAAGGAAGACAATTTTTTAGTAAGAATCTTCATAGCGTTGAGAAAAATACATTGAAAACCAGTCTTGTGCATATTCTTGGCTAATGTTCTGGTATATGGTTGAGGCAGTGGAATGACAGTTGGTTTTGGCATTAATATGGCCAAAGATGTTATTGGATTGACACAAGATGGAGCTGCTGTGAATAAAAAATACTTGAGTCAATGATATAAAGAAAAGTTCTTGAGTTCTTGAGCAAATTTTTTTTTTTTTTTTGTTATTCACCTCCTCAAGGCCGAGAAGGCCACTACAGACGAGGAGGCTACTTAATAGTGATTATAACCCTCTCTCAACTCTATAACTCCAAAACACGAATCTTGACGAACAAGGCCGCTGCGCGAAGAAACAAGTTGTTTAATATTAATAATCTTTCACTAAAAGATGAAATGAATATACAAAAAGAAGAACTGTCAGTGCATTTTGTAGGATCAGAAAGAAGCTCAAATCAGAATTCATACTTTTCAAGAACATCGGTAAAAGAACAGAAAATCTTCAATAACTAATATGATGCATTACATTGCATCAAACTAACATCAAAGGTTAACTATACATTTTCTGTAGGCATAAACCTTTACACCATTTTACACCAATTTACACCAAAATATTATTTAATGTCTCTAGAACAAATTACCTAAATGGTTGAAGTTTTTGAAATTCTATTATAAGAAATAAAATGTCCTTATTAAAAGCTATTTACTAGTGACATAATAAAATGGGATTAATATAAAAACATTTTTGATTTGGAAAATTTGAAAAATAATTAAAAACAATAAAAAAAATCTGTTTTTTATTTAAATTTAAAAGAGAAACAGCTGTTTTTTGAAAAGTACTGTTTTTGAAAAAGCCTACTAGTATATTAAAAAAACATTTTTACTATTAAAACTTAAATCAATCATGCATTTTATATATATGTATATATATATATATATATATATATATATATATATATATATATATATATATATATATATATATATATATATATATATATATACACATACAGGCCTCAGCGGGAAGAAATGAGTGCAAGAGCGGTGAAAAGCTCTTCTAAAACAAACATGGCGAGCTATGCGAGCTGCTTCTCTAAGTATTTAGACAATCATTGTTTTTATTGCTTATAAAAAAAGCTTTATATTTTTTTATTGTAATAGAATGCAGGGATTTTAAGAACTGTTAAAGATAATTATTAAAATGACTGTGTTTTTTATTTTAGTTACATTGATAATTAAACTTTTTAGAGAAAAATATATACTTTTGTATATATTTAATATATTAAGTATATAAGTTAATTTCCTGTGTCGTAAATTGATGAACTTTTATTAGAAAATATTGAAAACATGTTCAATTCCTCTCAGTTGTAAAAAAAGGTCACTTCAAATGCCATTCAAATTACATTTAGTCATTTATTTAATCCATTACAAAGATCTTGCTTGCTTGGTGTCAAGTTGTTGCAATCTATTTTTAAGGTATGTTTTATGCAATAACAATAAAATATTATTGTTATTGCGTTCAAATATTTGTATATGTTTTCTATATAATCAAAATAATCAAAATATTTAATACTACTAATACTGCTACTACTAACGCTTGATGAAATGTTATATGAGCAAAGCTTGATAAAACACTGAAATGTTATGATGAATGTGTCAAGCCGGGAAGCTACAAACCCCTTGATGAAATTTTTGATATTACTAAAGTGGATGGAATATGATTATCTTCCGAAGACAAGTGATTATACCATCTCCAAGTGGAAAGGAAAAGAACAGTGGGATACTTTACAGGTCATGCGGCCAGTAAAGAAACAATCCATCCCTCTAAAAGACAAAAACTTTCTAATGAGTCATCCAACTCATTATCTTACTAGTGATTCTGACTCTGAGGTTGACGACAGTGAATATGAAAACAAAGAAGAATAAGATGAGACAACTAAACCAAGCAGAAAACATCATAAAAGCAAAATTGCAGTCAACTTGGTGACCTCCACAAGAGTATCAACAAACAAAGTTTCTAACATATGCAAGCTATTGGCTCGTAAAGGCATCGACATCCCAACTCCATGTCAATCAGCTATTTATAAGTTAACAATCAAAGAAGCAATCTAGCTGAAGGAAGAAATTATTGAAAAGCATATATTATGGAAAGTTGGTCCTTGCACTTTGATGGCAAGCACATCGACAGAATGGATTATCAAGTGGTCATCCTTAAATATGAAAGAAGAGAAATCAAATTTGATGTCCTAGGCTTGGTAGATGACAGGGCTTTAACTATTGCTCAAGGAATTTCTAGAGTCCTCGATGAATTTAACCTATATAATTAAATGCGGTAGTGGTGTAGTGGTAGAGTGCTCGCTTCATAAATGAGTGGTTCCGAGTTCGATTCCCACCAGGTCCCTGGTAGTACCGCGCTCAACTCGTTTCTCCGCGCAGCGGCCTTGTTCGTCAAGGTTCGTGTTTCGGAGTTATAGAGTTGAGAGAGGGTTATAGCCACAAATAAGTAGCCTCCTCGTCTGTAGTGGCCGTCTCGGCCTTGAGGAGGTGAATTAAAATAAAAAAAAAAAAAATACAGATGATTGTTGCAGATACCACCAGCATTAACACTGGAAAAAAGAATGGCGTTGTAATATTGCAACGAATTTTCAAAGAGAAACGCATCAACAAACCTCAATTTATCAGTTGTCAACACCATGTATTAAATTGAATCCTCTGGTGATGAATGAAAAACTTGGAAATAAAACACAATCGCCAAACATCGAATATCCATTTGTATCTAAACTGTTGAAGGAGTACAAACAACTGAACAAACAGTTTGATAACAGAACAGAAGTAATTCTTGAAACATCAGGCTGGAGAGATGATATGAAATTTTTGTTTTATCTTACTCGAGTGTTCCGATTTTTTGAGAAAAAGGGACATTTTCCATTGATCAGGTTTCAGAAAATACCCAACATCAGCAATGCGAGGTGGAACTTTAGAGCTATACTAGCAATCCTGGCCTTCATTTTAATTCCTTCAACAAGGACAGTTCTGCAGAGAGCATGTCCATTTATATCCTATGGCTGGGCAGGCTATTGGTTTACAGACCAACTGTACAATGAAAACGACTGTAATAATTTGGCTGAAATACTGAATCCATACAAAAAGACTTTAAGCTCTTTCAAAAATCACTGGAAGTGAGAGCCTCCATACTAGACAGGGTTGGCAAAAACCCGGTTTTTTTTAAAAAAACCCAGCCCAGTGGGTTTTTTTGGGTAATTTTGGGTTTTTTTTTGGGTATTATTGGGTTTTTTTGGGTTTTTTTTATTTTTATTTTTGTTAAAAAAACTTTTTTGTTTGTTTAATAATATTGAAAACTAATATCATTTTTAACTTTAAGTTTATTTACAATATATTTTATAAGTTTTTAAAATTTATACACCTCAAATTATTTTCAATAAGTTTTTTTTAATTACAGTTTAAAAAAAATCTAAAAATGTAACAAAATAAAAAAAAATCATGATAAACCTATATGTATTGATTTATTTTAGATTTAATAATAATATTTTTTATAATTAAAAATGTCGATGGGAAGTGGGAGAAAGAAAGCTGGAGAATGGGATGAAGTGACTGAAGTTGAAAACAGTACAAAGGTTTCTTGTGACTATTGTCATGCTTTGATTAGCAACAAGATAGAACGAGTAAAACCCCATTTAAAACATTGCCAAAAAAAGTTTAAGTTTTTACACAAGCATACAGAAGGGGAAAATCTCAATTTGTCAAAATATTTAAATAAAAGTTGTGATGATGTACCAAATAATGATTTAAATATTAGTGCATCTTCTCTAATAGCTGGACCATCATCTCAAGTTGGAAAAAGTTCTTTGGCATCTGTAAGTTCTATAAGTTCGTTAACACCTTGTAAGAAGCAGCGGTTGATGTCATCATACACAATATCAACTAATATGGAACAGAAAGAAAATATTGATATAAAAATAGCAAAATTTTTCTTCAGTGCAAATGTATTATTTAAAACTTCTTAAAATCAAGAATTTATAGACATGATCAGTTCATTGAGACCAGGATACAAACCACCTAACCGTAAAATGCTAGGAGAAGAGCTCTTAGAAAAAGTTTATGAGGAAGTAAACAAAAAAATGATGGATCAACTTACCCAAGAAGAGAAAACAATAACAATTATGCAAGACGGATGGAGTAGTGTTACTAATGATCCCATTATTGCTCACAGTGCATATGACGGACTTAATTCTAAAATTTTATGCATTACTGATTGTGCATCAAATAAAAAAACAGCCAAGTATTGTACCGAACTCCTTTGTAATGTCATTAAAGATCTTAAAGAAACATACAATAAAGAAGTATTTGCTGTGGTAACAGATAATGAAAATAAGATGAAAAAAATGAAGGATTCAATCAAAGAAACGTATCCAAATCTTTTAACATATGGGTGTTCTGCACATTATTTAAACCTTTTAGAAAAAGAAGTAACACACCCAGATGTCATCAAACATGTGGTTGAAGTGCAGAAATATTTTCGTAATACACATCAACCGCATTTTGTATTTGTGGGTTAAACTTAAAGTATAAAAAATATATAAAAGTTTAAAATTAACTATTTAATTTTTATTTTAAGGGATGGTTGCGTGAGAAAGGAGGGCATATGCCAGTTACCAAACAATACCCGATGGAACTCCCAAATTGACTGTATAGAAACATACATAAAAAACTACCAAATTTATGTAGAAATAGTAGATAATCATGATATACCTATCAAAATCAGAAAAATTATTGAAAATCGAGCAATATTTAGAGAAGCTAACAGTCTTCAAACCCAAATTTATGTAGAAATAGTAGATAATCATGATATACCTATCAAAATCAGAAAAATTATTGAAAATCGAGTAATATTTAGAGAAGCTAACAGTCTTCAAACCCAACTCAAAATATTTGGTGTTGTTTTAGATCAAGTATTTAACTTTTTTATATTAAAGTTTTTTTACATAATAAGATTTTGTAGGTGTAAAGGAAAAGTAATAAATATAAATATATTATGTTAATTAAAAAAATTTAAAATTAAATTTTTTCTAGATGCAAAGTGACAGTTGTCACCTATCCGAATGTGTTGAGTTGTGGCTCTCACTTCTGAATCACCCTGAACTAAGTCATTACCACACAGCTATCAAAA